CAGCTATCTCACGTCCGCCCAAGAGCACCAGAGGAAAAACAGCTGGAGTAAGATGCCGGGACAAGTTAAGCCGTGAATGTATCTGGGGCTCAGCAAACTCAGTGTTTACCTTCATTCCCTCTGAGCGCTCGCACACGGCAGGCGAGATAAAGCCAAGCAAATATTGGGAAGTGTGGGTGATATAAGGCGACACACGCCCCCAGAGGTTTAGTGGCGCCGGATGCATAGAAATACATTCGGCGCGGGGATGTTTACAGCGTTCCCCGAGAAGAGCGTGCTTTTAATTTAAACTGCGTTTCCGTTCTAGTGTTCCCTGCTGTGTTTTCTAGCAAACAGAGAAGTCGTAATTCAAATTCAAATGAGCAGCTTGATTTTTACCACAAATTAGACTCCACCTGGGACCCCGAATTTAGTCCAATTAGGGATTCGGTGTGCATTCTACACCCTTTGTTATCCTACAGTATGTGGCCAAAAGTATGTGGACGCTGTAACATTATGCGGGACGGCTGAGCATCTTTCTTCCAAGAGAACAGCTCAGTTTATCCCAAAGGTGCTGGATGGGATTAAGTTCAGGGCTCTGGAGTTCTTCTAGGTCATGAAACACGGGATGCTGTTGATACTTGTGAGCATTTTGTTGAAAATAGTATTTTACGACAAAGCATTAGAAGCTTTCTGTCACTGGAGCTCAGCCCAAAGCATTAAGAACCTTCTGAATTCCACCTTTTTCTGGCTGTTTTTATTTTTCTTTTCTCACATGTTTTTCCTCACTACAACATAAACTCATGCACCTCTATGGAAACAGCATGACTACAAGTAGGGAGAACTTATAAATGTCTTTTGTGCAGCATAATACAGTTAAAATCCCATAAATCATGTTTATTTTTTACAAAATCTGAAAAAGCATAGACTCAACATTTTTCCAATCATGGAAAAACATATTTTACTGCTTATATTTTTAATTTATTTCCATCCTTATCCTACCTGCTCTGTTTAAACACAGCCTGCAGTTCATCCTAATCCAGCTAACAAGCCCCTGAGTTCTGGGACTTGACCGTTGGTCGCAGTTAAGTCACTACTTGCTTTACGGTTGTGCCAAGGAGGACAAAATGTTATTATTTTTGCAGAAGCTGACTACTGCAAACCATTTAATTTTGGTATTTTTTTTAAAGGAGATATCGAGAACAAAGTGATTTTATTGAGATATTATCATTGTAAGCTAAGATTTGGCCACGTTTTCCAACAAAACATCACGCCTCAGATGACTAGAGCTGTTTAAAAGTTGAAAATCTGACAATTCAAAAATAATTTGGGTGTTTTTGGGGGTTGATTGGGTTAAAACTATCCAAGGCCAGTAACCTAAAGTAACCCCTGTCCACATACTTTTGACCATTTGTGTTGAGGGAACATATAAACCAGTGGTCAACGTCAAAATTAGCATTAAGAAAGGTCGGGTTTGTTGCATTGTATCACCTTCAGCAGGCATTCATGATGTTTCCAGCAGCCCTGTAGATTTCCCCACGTGCAAATGAAAGTGCTTCAGGATTTTGCATAAGTTCCTTATCTAGTTCCAACGACTTGAGCAAATAAACCCGAGTGATGCACATGAACTACCGAGATAACCATTTTCTTGGCAGCTCTTCCTCGTTTTGCTTAAAAAACAAAAGGCCGCAGTGTCTCGGAGAAATGCTTCGACGGCTTTTAAAATCCCGGCGACGCCAAATCTGTGAGCCGTTTAAGAAGAACGCGTCCTGTTTCTGTTTGTTTGTTTGTCCAGGTGAGAATGGTGCCACTTGGACCTGAAAGTCTGAGGCCTCCTTAATCTCAAACTGTATAACAGCCCCATAAAATCCATCACTCAGACTGCAATCAGATTTGTTTTAACTACCCGCCTCTCGCTGCCAAACGCTCTAATCTGGCAGGTTGACAGGTTGCCACGGCGCTGTCCAATAAACAAGCAACTTATGAATTCATGTGACTGTTGTTTGGAGGAACGTCTTATAATCAGCCAGTGTTAAAAACAGAACGGCAGGAATGTAAACCTCCCTGCGATAGCTTTCTCCAAAGAATATAAACTGTGTGAGCTGGGAACAGATATCATTTATCTCTCAGGAATGTTAGTGTAAGATTGTGCCGTTGACTGAACTCTTACATTAAACGAACTGTTTGTCCTCCTGCCTTCACTCTGACATCCTGTTGTTAACCTGTTTGCACAACATCCCCTCCTGATGAGTGACAACACTGATCCCGGTTCATTTAGTGCATCTGACAAGCGACGCTAATGACGCCGCAAAGTGGACTAAAAATGACTGTTGAGAATAAAAACCAGGTTTTTACCATGACTTAACTAAACACAGGTCAAACCACACTAACTAGTTCTTAACTAGAGATCAGTTTAAACTAAATATTTACACTCACTAGCGGTAAGGCAATTGATAAAGCAGACTTAAGCTTGCTAATATATGACTAGCTTAAACAAAGCTAACCACTAACAAAGCTAAAGTCAGCGTGCTAATTTGTAGCCTGTTTAGAGTGAGCTAACTAAACCAAATGACAAAGCTAACGCTAGCTTGCCATTACATGACCCACTTAGAGAGGCCTAACTGAACCAACTGACAAAGCTAATGTTAGCTTGGGATTAGATGACGTGTTTAGAATGAGCTACATGAGCCAACTAACACAGCTAATGTTAGCTTGCTAACATATGACCCACTTAGAGTTAGCCAACTGCAGCAACTGACAAAGTCAATGATATCTTGCTAATACATGGCCCGCTAAAAGTAACTGAACCAGCTGAAAAAGCTAAGCTAGCTTGCCACTGCATGACCCATTTAGAGAGAGCTAACTGAAGCCAGCTGACAAAGCTAATGCTAGCTTTCTATTAAACGTCACGTTTAGAGTGAGCTAACAGAACCAACTGACAAAGCAAATGTTAGCTTGCTAATAAATGTCCTGATTAAAGAAAGCTAGCAAAGGAAATTGACAAAGCTAATGATAGCTTGCTTACATATGACCCACCTAGAGTAAGCTAACTGAACTGGGAGACAAAACTAATGCTAGCTTGCTAACAAATGATCCATTTAGCGAGTTTAGTGGTGCAACTAACAAAGCTAATGTTAGCTTGCTAATATATAATCCACTGAGAAATAACTAACTAAACCAAGAGACAAAACTAACATTAGCTTGCTAATAAATTAAATGCTAACAAAGCCAATGTGACGCTGCTAATACATGACCCACTTAGAGAGGGTTAGCTAAGGCTAGCTTGCTAATGTGCAAGTAAAAGGTAAAAGATGGAAAACGCTGAACATATCTGACTTAAAACTTGATCAGTGCTGTTTAAAAATGAAATACACATTAAATGATACAACAAAAATAGCATCTGGAGTGCTAAATTAATAAATAACCTCTAGTACATTAGCATAATTGGCATTTTCCAAAGTGTATGGATAGTTTTAACATGCATTCTAATTTAGTAAGTCACTAGTTAAATTAAATGCAACAATGGTTTAGGAACAAAGGTTTCTCTTTTTATCGATCGGTTTCTGCTAATTTCACTGAAAATGTGTTTATCTGTATGTATATTTATTAGTGTTGTAGTTGAGTAAATTTGGATCCGTGCAACACAGCTGTGGCGCCGAGCACGTACAGGTGCTCCGTCTCTGGTTCAGCTACAGCCAGGAGCCTTTGCTGAAAGCCAAACTTCTGTCTTTGCACTTGTTTCCTAACCGCCTCTCCACTGTTGAAGGTCCAACGAAGGCAAAAAAGGAAAGAGAAAGAAAAATAAATGCATTCATCAAGCTAAAGAAAATCCTTGATTCTACATTTTCCGTGACGCAAATGGCTCCTTTCACCGCAAACTAATGGCTTCCGAGCAACGTGGCTCCTTTGCTTCATGTCGAAGCAGAAGCTGGGTTTTTTTTCTTCTGTATTTTGCATATTAATGTGTGTTTACACAGAACAGCAGACACTAAATCTACAAAGTAAGTGTGAGAAACAAAGAGATGATTGGGGAATTCTGCCACGGGGGCCTTCTGCTTGGTTTATCCGGCTACAATCACAATCTTTAAATCCTTTGTTTCGTCCAAACAGCACAATTCGAGGGTCAATTACAGACGTTTAGCTGCACTAACAGACTGTAATCTGCTGGATGTCATCATGGCAGTGAGACACAAAGACATGAACAACAAAGAAGCAGGAAAAGGTTTACTGCTCCGAATCAAAGCGGCACTAAATCTCATTCGGATACTTTAATCCTGCAGCAATAAGTGAGACTTGACACGAGACCTGGTGAAGAATGCAGCGAGTGGAAGCAAACTTTAAATTTAGATTTGTGGCGAACAGCAGTTTCGAAATAATTTGCACACAAAAAAACAAAAACAACACATGCACAAGAAGAAGGCCGGCCTGTGGCACAGCTGGAGCGCTGATCAATCCTGCATCTGAAAGCACAACGGAGACAAGAGCCACTTATATTTCATTGTCTTTACACTCCTGCTCCAGGGGAGGATGAAAGTCAATGTTACACTTAAAAAGAAAAAGACAAACAACAGATTGTAAGTGGAGGAGATTGCAGCACGGTGTGAGATAAAAGTCTCACTCAAAACACAATCAATTCCTGTTTGCAAGAATGCAGAAGTGAGCTGAAGCCCAAAGCAGGAGCAGAACAATGGTGCCAAGTGGTCACCAAGCAGCACAAAGGAGGTGTGACAGAGGAGCAGAGAAGTTCATCTCAAGTGCATTCATCAACATTTGCAAAAAAAATAAAAATGCAAACATGTTCCAGCATCTGCAGGTAAACGTTGCGCTGCAGGAGCACAACACGCACGCAAAAGTGTGCAGACAAAAGCCAAACAACAGGGATGCTGCTCCCAGCGTCAAACACAAAGCAACCCGCCCCATCGGAAAGAACTTGTTTCCTCAACGCTCCGGAGCCCGTCCGCCAGACTCCGTGCAGAAAAAGACCGATTTAAGGACGCGGGGAGAAGGGAAGCAGCGCTCACCTTTTGTCGGTTCCTCCGTCTGGCTGGCTGTCAGCGGGTGTCTGCCCTCCTCCTCCTCCGCTCCTCCGCGCCTTTAAACGGGGCAGCAGCAGCAGCAGCAGCAGCAGAGGCGGCGGTTGCGAAATCGCTGGTGCGCTCTCGCTCGGTGGGCGGCGTGGCTCTTCCTTCACTGTTTTTCTTGCAATGTTTCCAACCAGCGAGGACGCGGAGAAGCCCTCCCACTGCTCCCACTCCTCCTCGGAGCGGATCCGCCCTCTGGCTGCCACGGGAGGACGGAATAATGTGCACAGACGCATCAGAGGCTGCGGGGTTTCTGGATCAAACCGGGCGGACGCGGTGGGAGTGTGGCCGAGCAGGAGTCCTGCTGCACCGCTGCGCTCCGGTGGCTCCGGCTGGTGGCTGTGACTGCACTGCAAAAAAAAAAAAAAAGAAAAACATGTCCATCCTGACGAGGCTTCAGTCTGGCACACAGTTTTAAAGTGGAGGCGCACACAAGGGGGCACAGTCTGTCCTTTTAAACAAGTGCCATTTCTTTTAATATTCATTTAGTTGGGACATGTTTGTCCCCGCTGAGCCACTTTCAAGCCCAACTAGAGCAGTTAACCCAAAATCCCCCCAATGGTTGACCCACTTTCACCTCTGCTGGCCTCAGTTGTACCTTCAAGGTCCAAGAGCCTCTTTTTATTCCCAGTACAAACACTTACTTATTGGTGAAATGCCCCTCTGGTTGCTCCAAGTGCCCTGATGTCCAAATAGCATAAATACGGCACTTCCTGTTGTTTTGGTCACTCAAATGCCCCTGTAGATGACGCGGCTAAATATCCCTTCCATTACCCAAATGTCTACTCAAGTGTTCCACATTTTTACCCAAATACCCTTCGCTATACATCTTATTCTTAAAATGCCCATGTGGACGGCCCAAGTGCCCCCTTTTCAGTCCTAATGGACCTCTAGTAACTAATTTCTTCGATAATTTGCCCCTCTGGTTGCTCCAAGTGTCCAAATACCCCTCCGGTCAGCATGAAAACTGCACTTCCTGTTGTTGCTGTTTTGGTTGCTCAGTTGCCCCTGGAGTTGACCTTCCTTTCAGCTCAGATGGGACTAAATACCCCTTTGATTACCCAAATGTCTTTCCTGTCCCCCAATTGTTCTACATTTCTGCCTAAACATTCTTCTCTATACTTACTTCTTGTCCCCGTTTTTCAGTCCAAATGGACCTCTAGCAACTTATTTCTTTGATAATTTGCCCCTCTGGCTGCTCCAAGTGCCCTGATGTCCAAATACCCCCCTGGTCAGCATAAATACTGCCCTTCTTGTTGCTTGACGTTCTTATTTTGGTTGTTCAAATGCCCCTGTAGTCGGTCCAACTGATAGTACCAGGACCTTGTATGTGTTGTACGAGCTAAACTGATGGCTCGAATTGCCCCATGACCCTCTTTTCACCTCAAACGGGGCTAAATATCCCTTTGATTACCCAGATATCTTTCCTGTTACCCAAGTTTCCCACATTTATACCCAAAAACTCTTCTCTATACTTACTTCTTGTTGCTAAAATGCCCTTGTGGATGCCCAAGTGCCCCCTTTTCAGTCCAAATGGATCTCTAGTAACTTGATAATTTGTCCCTCTGGTTGCTCCAAGTGCCCCATGACCCTCTCTTTAGCGGGGCTCAATATCGCTTCGATTACCCAAATGTCTTTCCTGTCACATTTCTGCCCAAATACTCTTCTCTAAACTCACTTCTTGTTGCTAAAATGCCCCTCTGGTTGGTCTAAATGCCCCTTCTTCAGTCCAAACACCTCTTTAGTCACTTATCTATTGATCAAACACCCCTCTGGTTGCTCAAAGTGCCCCTCTTTTCAGCCCTAATGCCCCTCTGTTCAACATAAATGCTTCTCTAATTATTTCTTTCTTGTTGCTGAAATGCCCCTGTGATGGATTCAAATGTCCCTTTGGTCAACCCAAGTGCCCCTTTCACTATTTTGTCGGGCTGACATTGATCCTCTGGTTCAAACATCCAGTCTTTTCTGACCAACTCAACCTGGATTGACCATCTACCCCAGTCATCCTGTCAAATAAGCCTACTGCCCCATTTGTTAGCCTAAATACCCCTCTGGTTACCTGTCCTGCCATCCAATTGGCACACTAATACGTCCATGGGTCTTACAGTTTTTTGCCCAATTACACCTCTATACGCTTTTGTCTTGTTGCTAAAATAGCTTTGAGGTTGGTCCAGGTTTCCTATTGGCCACCCAGATGCTTTTATTGTAGCTAGAATGCTACTTCTCATTGCCCCTGTGTCCATTCTTTCTGCCCTCTGGTTACCCCATATGCATTTATGTCCTTAAAATGCCCCTCTGGTTGGTAAAATCATCCTTTCTGATCAACCTAAATACCCCGCTGGTCGACCTAGAAGCCTCTCTGTCCACCCAAGTGTCTTCATTATCAGACATTGCTTTCTCTAAACACACACAGATATTTCCCAGTGTCACATAGCATCACTTTAGTAGCAAAAATTACAGAAAAAACACAATCTTTGCATATTATTTAAGCTTAAATGACCTTTAAAGTTGGATATGGCTGCAATGTGTTGCTGCTTAGCTAGTTGGCTAAACACGTCTAGACTGATTCACCTTATTTATCCAGAGAAAACGAAAACCTTCACAATAACACCATCAGGCACTCAGCTAGTAAAAGAGGATGCCATTAAACACAACAGATTAGAGGAGAGTGGAATATTGCTGTATTATCTCAAAGGAGATTAAAAAGAATACCAGAAATAATGATAAAGTCTGCGTCCCGCTCCTCTGAGAGCACTACGGGAATAATAAAAAGAGAAACAGCTCTGATTTGTTTGAGAAAAAACAGGATTTGAGAATTAAACGTGATGACCAGAGTGTAATTAAAAGTAGCGGCAATTACATTTCATTAGAAGATGAGTGAGATACATGCAGGGGAGGCTCACAGTTTGGAGTAAAATTATTACCGTGAACCCTGAGGATGCATTTAACACGATGCTATATTTATATGTGCGTGTGCTGGAACGTGTTGGAAGCCACCTGAGCTGCAGGCCTGAGCTTCGGTCCCTCTGGAGTTCGCTGATAGTATCGCTGCAGCGTAAGCAGGCTTTGATATATTTGCTTTAATTATGGAGGATAATGAATTTAAATTTGTGATGCACCGAGGCTCTGAAATGGCAACCCACCCCTGGAGTCCGTAAATGCCTGCTACCGCTTCAGGCTCCCGGGGAGTTTGGGAAATCTTATCCAAGATTGAGCTAATGAAAATAGATCGGCCTCTGAAATGCTAATGTTGACTTTTGGTGCCTAAATCTGGCTGCAGCTCGTGGGAACTTCGCCGGTTCAAATGCATCGGTGGGTCTATAAAAAGAGACACAAACTTCTCCAGGGTATAGCTTACCCTCACGTGAACGCTGGAAGTTTTGTTCCTCGCTCGTGGACAAATTGCTCTGCAGGAAGCGGCAAATTGCGAGATCAAGCGTTTATTCTGTCAGAACGAGGCGAAGCTGTACTCTTGCCCCAATTTCTTACCTTTTCTTTCACTTAAAAAGAAAACACTAAAAAATTAGACAAAGCGTTCTCTCCATTGACATCCACACTCACTCCGTCCACCCACGTGCAGCCGAGCTCTGCTGGCAATTAATTAAAGGAACCACATGCACCGCTCAGCCGACTTGTCAGGCCTGCCAGTCATCAGCACGGCGTGACAATGATCTGACCATCGCCGGCTTAATTGGCATTCGGAGGACACACTCCTCTCCTCACTGTAGGCTAAATAAACACACCGCCGGGCAGGATGCAACCTTCAGTCCTCGTCTCTCCTGATCAATAAGCCTGCAATCGGCTGCATTTCTCAACCTGTGTGCCATCGTGTTGACGGAGCAGCTTTCTGTTTTTGTGCGTATCGACCGAAACAATTACAATTTCAAATCGGGGGAACTGCCAAGAACAATTGGAAACTTCCTCTGAGGGAAAAGTAGTTGTCTTTCTGACGGATAGTTTGGGGTTCTCGCTGAGAAGCGCCTCCTCTGCACCTCACGAACTAGACCCAACATGAAAAGTTGTTTAATGTAAAGATAGACATATAGGTGATATAGAAAGTTGACATTTTCCATGAGGATTTATGAAAACGCTTATGTCTCTTAGCATTTAGCTCAGCGAGGGGCTCGATATCCCTGATACGCCTCCTTCAGCTTGGCCAGCCTTCTTTGCTGTGTCTGTTGTAACACAAAGATGTCCTCCCTTGTGTACACCGTTCCTCCCACACTTGTACACGTCATTGGAAGTACATAAACACCCTCAACCACAGAGCTGCTAGGATTTGTTGCCACTCAGTACAGTGCATGTATGATTGATGAGTGAATCAGCATTTACTTGCGGACGTGTCGATCAATCATTTCGGCATAAATGTCAAATATAGTCTTGATACAAACAATATAATAGTGGACATCCCTTTTAAAACTGGCTTCATAGTGTTGTGGCCTGGAGTTCGACAGTGACCTCGACATTCTGACACCACTCATGCTTTGCTTGGATTGTGTGTCGTGTCTCATTGAACTTGAACTGAATGAAAACTTTTAATTCTAACGCTGGTGGTATAAAGTCTGCATCCATGAGTCCAAGAGGTTCCATGCATGGAACAGAGTCTTCCAAGTGGACTCCAAGGAGGCGAGGAAGTGCCATAAAAAAAAAAGGTTAGTTCATGGTAGCACTGATCGAAAGCTAACAGCGGACGCAGTTCTGTTCATACGATCGGAATGAGTCTCAGGAAGCTGCGATGTCCCTCATATTTAAGTTTAAAAAAATGAAAAACACAAGAAACTCTTTTGGATGTTTCTGAAAGGCTTTGGGGCTGCAAGGTGGCGCAGTTGGTAGCACCGTTGCGTTGCAGCTAGAAGGTCGCTGGTTTGCATTTCTGCGTGGAGTCTCCATGTTCTCCCCGTGCAGCGTGGGTTCTCTCCAGGTTCTCCGGCTTCCTCCAACACAGTCCAGAAACATGTTGAGGTTAATTGGTGATTCTAAATTGTCCGTAGGTGTGAATGTGAGTGTGCTTGGTTGTCTGTCTCTAAGTGTAGCCCTGTGATAGACTGGTTACCTGTCCAGGTGAACCTGCCTTCACCCTGAGTCAGCTGGGATAGACTCCAGCCCCCCATGACCCTAGTGA